GTGCTCCTAACAAGGTTTCCGGTTAGACTCCCACATGGGTGGTGGGCTATGCCCACCCGCAACTAAGATTGAACACAGCACCTTGAGCTAAGCAGCCACAGCTGCCAATAGGCAGCTGGATGGCAACTGGACTTGGAGCTGAGCTAGCTGCACCCTCCACAACTAAGATCGAAGGACAACAACTTGGCTGTTCCCTCCCCCAATTCTCCAACACTGTTCGCCTTCCCCAATTCCCCAATAAAATCTGTAAAAAATAAAAATAAAAATAAATGGCTCCCAAGATGTCTTGAGAATAACCCAACCACGGTGTCTACCGGTTCCTACAAACGGGGCAAAACTTGGAAGCAGTTCTCTCTGTTCCCAGAAGAGCCAGTCGGCGTCAAACGTCTCTGAATCTTCCATTTTTCTGATAAAGCCAATAGGCTAGTGAAGCCACCCACAGAAGAACAAAAGCATTTTCCCCAAACTTGAATGGGCCATTGAGACGCAATCCCCTTTGAATGTTGGGGTACAGAGTCCTCTTATCAGAAGACATCGGGCAGACAGCCCCCTCCCTCTCACATAAGTGCATCCTTGCATGTCTGTGTATTGGATCCCTGCTGGGGATTTGCAGGCAAGAACACTGACCAGACACACACACACACACACACACACACACACACACAGGTTTGAGCTTTTACACGGCAGACATCAAGGGTTTCTCTCTCCCTCTTTCTCTCTCTCTCTCTCTCTCTCTCTCTCTCTCTCTCTCTCTCTCTGTGAAGGATTTGATATTATACATCCGTATGAAGTCAATCAGTGAGTGAGTTCATATCCTGTCGTTCGGCGAGTGGTGCTGTCCTGGCATGGCAGTGCGGTGACCACACAGAAACGGCCGCTCTGCGGGGTCTTCAGTACTAATGGGCACACCAATCATAGCCAGAGTGCAGACAGAAGACCAGGTTCGGGGTGGAAGGTCATGAGGCTACACATAAGTGCAGGAGGGACGCGAGTGCCGTGTATCGATCGACAGAGGGTCACAATTCTCAGTAAGGCAGCTGGCGTCTTGCTCATGAGGAAGTTGACTGTTGAGTAAACAGTAGAAGAAGGTTTGACACTGGGAGTGGACGGTGCAGGTGACAGTGGATAAGGTATCCCGGGCCAGCGCTGTCCGACACAGCCATCTGTAGTGACAGAAATGTCCTATACGTGGTGACCCCCAGCCACGCGTGCCCAGAAAGCTGGTGATGTGCTGTTAGTGCAACTGAGGACTCTAATTCTTCATTTTAAGCCCTTTACAGTCATTGAGCAGACTGGGCAGTGCCGTTCAACCCCTGGGGAGTGACACGTGTGCAAATTTGCGATGGAAACAGAGTGTGCCTGACACTCTACCGTCTGCTCCCAACTTCCTGTCCCACGTAGGGGCTTTCCAAACTCAACCCTCATACAACAACTGGATTCGTGCCCTCAAACTGCATTCAGGTTGCCTTTTATTTCATCATACCTGTTTGCTTTCTGTATTTGTGATGTCTCGCTGACCCTGGAGAGACTAGCCAATTCCTACAGAGGGTGGAGCAACGCACCTACCTGCAAGCACACCTTTCCTGCGAAAACCAGCCAATCCACAGCTCACATCCAAAACGCCTGCCCTCTCAGGCTCTCACACCATCCCCAGTCCTAGTCCCACAGGTATGAGGCAAGTAGGGGCAGCCCTGTGCTCCAAAGTCCAGAGCCCACTGGGATTATTCAAACCAGCCAGCCCTAAACCTGCTCACCTGCCTTGCAAGGTGCTTCCTGCAGAAACCTCAACTCTCTCTCTCTCTCTCTCTCTCTCTCTCTCTCTCTCTATCTCTTTCTCTCTCTCCCTCCCTCCCTCTCCTTCTCTCTCTGCCTCTCTCTCCCTCCATCACATCTGGCCCCTAGCTTGGTGTGGCATGTCAGCTCCTCTTCGGAGCTGAGAGTCACAAACTGCTTTCAATGGCCGTCGCCCTCTCATCTGGTGGCTTTCTCCTACCTGAACAATAATAGAACCTACACTTTAAAACATGATTAACATGAACAAGGTGTCTTTTAAGGAATCTGACACATTTTTCAAACATATAGAGGCCAGTCCAAGCTTTTCCAAGCTTCATAAAAAAAAACGGCATACATTTTGCATGGAAGTCTATACATACAATCAATTCTCGTGATGCACAGTAGTTTGGGTTTATAAACATCACTGGGAACACGGAATGAGCAAATACTGAATCACTGCTTCCAGGGGAAACATGGCGTTAGCCTCCTGGGAGCCAGCGGTCATCACATTTTTGCCAGTGAATCGATACATAATCTTGTTTTATATGTGTTTCTGTCTAAATAACCTCACATATTTCTTATCCATTCATAATTGTCATGCTTCTCTGTTAAAAATGTTGCTTGCAAACATTTTCGAGATCGTGGGTAGCATGACTGTCAATTTTGTTCATTTTCAGCCTCATTGTAATGCTGCCCACTGCCCTTTTTTTTTTTTCGTATCAGTCATCATCTCAAGAACCACAAACTTGGCCACTTTTTCTCCTTTGCCGAAGGTTCATCATGCGCTATTGACATCACAGGCAGCCTTTTGTATGTATAAACCAGCAGGTTCTCGCTTCCTTTCTCAGGAGGCACCATATTTTTTATTCCTTAGCACTGAGCTCCCCGCCCATACCTCACTGTCAGTCGTACCTGGAAGGAAACTTATCGAACCACGCATGCCTTTCCACAGTAAAGCACCCATCAGCTTTCTCACGCTTAGAAGGACCGCCGGCTGCTTCTGCACTGTGCTTGGGGTCTGCTTTCAACAGCAAAATCTCCCCCAAGAAGCAAGAGAGTGAAAAAAAAGAAAGAAAAAAAGAAAAAGGAAAAAAACTGTGGCGCTAAATAGACCAGGCAGAGGACAGGATCACAGCATGAGCGCCAAAGCCAGAAGGCAGAGGGTCACCTTGTTCGTCTTCCATTGGAAACATGTTCGAAGGGTGACTCGGATTCATCACCACTGTGTGCGTGAGCGTCCCCACGAGTGAGCACGAAATCGGCAAGCATGGTGTTTGGGGGGCTGCACATAAATTGTAGTGAGTGGACAGACCCATGAATACAGACTCTGGGACGAACGGGGCTCAATTTTTCTCCTTTCATTTTAAAATCAGTGGCCCGAGGTAGCTTCTGTTTCAAACCAAATTCCACAACATTCATTTCTTGCCTTGAAGCCTATCCTCATGCTTTGGTGCTAGTATATTGGACTGGAGCGGTTCCAATTCCACCATTTTGCTTAAAAAGTGGTCACTGCTGGGCCACTCAACCCTAAAGGGTTCTCCCCATCTTCCTCGCAGCCTCGGCAGGGTCTGACTTTACAAATCCCCGCTTCTTGAAAGCTTTGGGCCCCTTAGCTTTCCATCTCAAATCTCCCTGTTTTTTCCAGTTGCTCTGAGCGCTCACTACATATCTTTTGGGAGGGGTCATCTCCTTGTGTCCTGCTATTAACACTGGGGTTCCCCCGTGCGGGTCCCCGTCTTTCATCTTCCATGCTCTCATTCTGGACCCTGTCTAGGTGACTTCACCCACTCGACACAACTGTAATTTCTACTGCTTCAAGTCTCTATTGCTAACCCTATCCTGAGCTCCAGGCAAGGGCCTCTTGCTTACAGTTGAGCAGGTTGTGCACTGCATAATTCCGGGGTCGGTCAGAAAGGGCATCCACTGCCTAGTGCATAGAAGTGGTACCTGCTGGTTTGTTTCACAGTGGACAACGTGTGTGGCTGACTACACAAACTGCCACTTTTCTCCATGGGCTCCAATGCATTTCAAACTCAAAATACGCACACATCCAAACTGTCCCTCACCGCAGTCTGTGGGCCATCAGTGTCCCCTTGGAGACACCATTCTCCGCATCACCTTCTCTGCCACCCTTCACTTCCAACCCAGCACCCAGTCCTGTCAATTCTATCTGTCGAACGTCTCTCAGATCCATTAGCTTTTCTTCTGTGCTATCGTCTTCCCAGGATTGGCTATCATCTGCTCTCTCCTGGCATCCAGGGGAATGTCCCTCAGTCACGATAGACCATCTCACATGGGTCCTCCGCAGTGCAGCCAGGTGATCACTTCACACCCACGTCCGTCACGTCATGTCCAGCTTAAAATGATGCCGTGGGCTCCCTGCGCACTCAGCTGAAAACATCCTCCTAGCTGGCCCTCCGGGTCGCAGGTGATGACGGCCTTGGCTGCCTCTGCTTTTCGCCTCACTCGGAGTCCACTCTCATTGTCTGTGCTGTGTTTGCCCCTGGGGTTACTGGACTAATCTCTAATTCGGGCACAGCTCCATCAACCCAAAGATGACATTTGGGGTGCACGTTTGTAGAAACAAAAATGAGCATGGCTCTGGCAGGTAATACTCAGTCACTATTTACAGAATGAATGAGTGAGTACGTAAATACTCATATGCAAATTCGCTCTTATGTCACTAATTATTCAGCTAATAGTGACAGACTGTGCTATATAATCTAAGATGTTAGAGATAAAGACAGTGTGAAATGAAGATATTACATTACATGGGAGAACCAGAAGTGATCTGAGAAAGTAAAATATTAAATACACTTAGATGACACACACACCCTCCCCCGTATATATCCACATTTTCAATACTACATGAATAAAATGTTTTATCAATATTAATACAACATATTGATATACTATTCTAATTTAAAATGGATATCTACAAAAGATCAATTAAATTTTATAATTTAATATTTATTATGAAACTATTATTAAACCTAGTAATATGAATCCATTAACTTTTAATTTAATAAATAACTTTGGACTTTAATAATTTTTAATTTTGAATAAATAGACTTTAATTTTAATTAACATATGACGGTGATAAAACATGAATGTTAACGGTGATGCTGCTTTAGCTGCAGAATGGATGCCAGCAGCTTGGAAGAAAATTCTGGAATGAGAAGCGTACCAATCAATACTATCAACGTACATGGGCTGATACCCTGAGTGAAACAGCACTTCAGAAGAACTGGAAAAAAATTGTAAACTGGACTCTTGACACAATCTATTTTGCTTATGCTCCTAAATGCATAGGAGTGATAAAGATAAAAATATATGCCAAATAATTCTAAAAGCACCATTTCAATAAGGCAAAATAAAGAGCCTAAGACTAAAGAACAGAAACCGGCACAATGAATTTACCCTAAAGATAAATATGCAAGCAAACAAAAAGAATTTATTGTAAGATAATTGTTCACTGCAGAATTAATTATAAAATGGAAACTTTTTCAGTGGTGGAGTAAGAACACGTCTTATGTTATGCTGTATTCATCAAGGCAGCGATTCAAAATATAAAAAATATATGACAATATAGAATGCTCATATATAATGTTACTTGAAAATGTGTGTGTCTCACACACACACACACACACACACACACACTGACACACAGAAGAGCCTTCTGAAAGGAAACCCACAAAAAAAGCTGTTTCTATGAAATGATAGTGAGATGATAAGTGATTTTTTTCCTAGTTTCAAAGCTATCTGTGTGATGGGTCTTTTTAAAATAAAAAACTAATTTAGAACAACAACAAAATTACGTGCCAAATAATGACTATTTTGAGTAGTCTAGACCCAAGATGAGCCTTCTAGGCAAGGAAGGAAGATAGGTCAATGTCCCTGAAATGATAGACTGGAAGCCATTGACCGCGGCTGATTTCAAAATGTGATACAGATGTCTGGGAGTGAGGAACCCACTTAGACTTTAGAACAGCCAGACATGTAAAAACAAACAAAAAAAAACGGCTGTGTTTTGTGCAGCTACTGTTTTCCTTAATATTATCAGCACGGCGGCTTGCTACCGTGTTTCCCCGAAAATACGACCAGGTCTTACATTAATTTTTGCTCCAACAGTCTACATGTAGTTATGTACAAAAACCTGCATTTATTCAAACAGTCATGCCTGGCTGACGAACTGAACTGGGGCTTATGTCTGGGGTAGGGCTTATACGATGTGCACCCTGAAAATTCATGCTAGGGCTTATTTTCCAATTAGGTCTTATTTTCAGGGAAACACGGTACTTACTGAGTTTTTCGCATGTACCTTGATAGCACTGTGCCACCGGAGGCAGATAACACACCCGCCCTCTGCGTACCTTCGGTTTTTTTCCAGTACACCTTCACTTGCAGCTGGCTGTCTTGATAGAAGGGGGCGCCAATTTCCAGGAGGCGCGTGGGCCGTCTTCGCTGAAAAGGGGGCTGCGTTTCAATCACGCCCTTCGTAGTTTTCCCAAGTTGTTCTTCTGTCACAAAGCACAACATTCTAATTTACTAGTTCAAAAATAATGGCAAACCCTGAGATTAATCCCGGTGTGTTTAATTTCACTGTGATTTATTCAGACCCGGTGACTTGTAGAGAGTAAAAATATGATGCCACTGCAGAATCTAATATGCTCGAGTGGTAATACTTTCCCCCCGCCACCCCAGTATGTTGAAATAACTAAAAGTATTAGGTTGGTGCAAAAGTAATCGCGGTTTAAAAACAGTCTTAAAAAATGCAAAACCGCAATTACATTTGCACCAACCTAATGCCTTCGCTGTAACCCCCAGAATGCCAACTGGTAATCAATACATTCACCGGGCCTAAGAGAGGCTGTCACTTAAAGAAGACGTATACATAGTATTTCTCATTATAGATTTTTTTTTGTTGTTGGGAAGGAATTCAACAAAATAATATTAAAATGTCCTCTCACGTAAACAACACAGGTAACTTTTCACAGTAGGAACATCCTTATATACCAATACCTGGAACACGCCCTAAATGGGAATATTGCTCAGCGTGGCGAGATGGGCAGTGACAAGTGCCCCTTGCCTCACGCGGCTGATGCCCACACCAGGTATAGCAGGCACGCCAATCTATGGACTATTCCCGTTAATGACAGGTTTCCCAAACCCTGACACGTTAACGAGAAACGTTAACATACTCAGCCAATGGAAAGAAACGTGATGGTAACCGTACACGAGGCTGGGGGATGGAATACAGGGGTCATTCACCCATTCATGCATTCATTCAGTAAACATGTAGAGAGGGCACACAGACGTTTAGGGGCGGGGCATGTACGGCTTTCTACCTGAGGGCTCCTGAAATAGAAGATGCACCTCCCCAGGTAATTCCTGAAGGGACGTGGCCAGGGCTGGAGGGGCCAAGTGGGGGAGGGGAGGAACCACCTAAGTGTACAGAGCCACTGCGATCTATTTGGGGGACAAGGAGCCTGAGACTTTCCCAGGTAATGAGTTACAAGCGCCTGTTTTTCCGTTGTCTGTTTACACCATATCCTATACATTCTTGCTGCAAAGCAAGGACTCTATAAAAGGAATTCAGAGCGATCCCAAGGCTTAAAATTCCGGTATCCAGTGGGACATGGAGGAAGGAAGGCAGCTAACAAACAAAACCCCAGGAAGCATTTCTTTGAATCAGGTATGGAATTCAAGCGTTCGTGTGACACTGTCTAAGCTCCGTCATTTTTTATCGTGTCGCTGTTTCTGGGCATGATCTGGCTCTCGTCTCAGGGTTCTTTCTAAAGTTTTGCTGTTTCGATGTAGCTGCCTCTTTCCCGTGTGTGTCTGAATTCCTTGGTAACTCTATGTCCCTTTCCTTGTCCTCAGAAGGTGGCAGCCCTCCTGGTTTCTGCCAGCACCACCCTCCGTCCGTCAAAGCTTCCCGTAAGCTTTCCTTGGTGAAGATGGCCCAAGATAAACAGAAAGAAAGCCATTTTGGGGGCTCCTGTGTTTTCCAAGTTTTAAATAACTTTCCCCTTTTAATCTGTTCTTCCAACTACTAGCAAAAGAACCTCACCTTAATCTCCTTTGGATTTCTGCTACCTCTTGTAGCTCTGGGACACACCCATAGCACTTGCTGAATAAGTATGCACTGGATGGAATAAGTGAAGAAATCTATGAATTGATGGCTGCAGA